GGGGGATAAACTGGAGATGGCTGATGGGTACAAAAATACAGTTAGAAGAAATAGGATCTGGTGTTTTGTGGCGTAAGATGACTATAGTTAACAATAATTTATTGTATACTTCAAGATAACTAAAACAGTGCAATTGAAATGTTCCTAGCACAAAGAAATGATAAATATTTGAGGTGATGGATACCCTAATTGCCCTGGTTTGATCATTAGCTTGTATCAAAATATCACACATACTCTATAAATATATACAACAATTATGTATCCGTAATAATTTCTTTTTTTTTTTTTTTTTTTTTTGAGACGGAGTCTCGCTCTGTCGCCCAGGCTGGAGTGCTGTGGCCGGATCTCAGCTCACTGCAAGCTCCGCCTCCCGGGTTCACGCCATTCTCCTGCCTCAGCCTCCAGAGTAGCTGGCACTACAGGCGCCTGCCACCTCGCCCGGCTAGTTTTTTGTATTTTTTAGTAGAGACGGGGTTTCACCGTGCTAGCCAGGATGGTCTCGATCTCCTGACCTTGTGATCCGCCCGTCTCGGCCTCCCAAAGTGCTGGGATTACAGGCTTGAGCCACCGCGCCCGGCCTGTATCCGTAATAATTTTAAATAAAAAGTTTTTAAAGGTGGTAAGTTGCATATTCTCACTTATAAGTGGGAGCTAAATGATAAGAACTTATGAACACAAAGAAGGAAACAACAGGCACAGGGGTTTACTTGATGGGGGAGGCTGGCAGGAGGGAGAAGAGCAGAAAAGATAACTTTTGGGTACTGGGCTTAGTTCCTAGGTGATGAAATAATATGCACAACAACCCCCCATGACATATGTTTACCTCTGTAACAAACCTTCACGTGTATCCCTAAACCTAAAATAAAAATTAACAAAACAAAACAAAAAGGTGTAAGCAATGAAACACAGTATTGCATTTAGTAACTACTGACATTACCAATATCTCTTAGTTATGTGATCTGATTAAATTGGGAGACACTGAAAAAGAATCCAATATTTTCGGGATAAGAACTCGCTCAGGGTCTAATATTTTATGTGTGGAATGAGGTCTCTAAAGGAATGTTTTCAAGGGAAAGGAATTCCATCATGTGCTCACACAGGTATTTTGTGTCAAATCACAGTTTATGAAAGATAATTATACTCAATTTTGAATTTGTAACACATTGAGTCATAATATTGTCTATTTTTTAATTTTTAAAAATAGTTTACATATAACTCTGTGTGTGTAGTAAGCCAACACATCTGAATTCACCAATCCCTTCTTGAGCACCTCTTTGAGCTGTAGGTACATCATGGAACTTTACACACATTATTTCTAATCCTAATTAAACATCTAGACTGATAAAATTTATTAGCACCATTTTACACTTTAGAAAACTAAAGCTCAGGGTGGTGGCGTAACTCACCTAAGTTCAGACAGGTAGTAAGCATAGGCGCAACACAGTTGAAACCCATGTCTTGTTCCCTCAGAGTTGGTACCCTTTCCCACTACTACATGTATTTTATGAATGCAAGACTAATGGCTTAAGGAAACTGATTGATAAGTTCACTGATAGATAATTGGTATCATCAGTACTAATAATTTGTGTGTCTAAATCTAGTTTTGTGATGCACAATGTCTTTCATTTTCATAAATAAGAACGTTTCCAAGTGTTAGAATCTTTATTCACATAAACATGCACAATTATACAATTATAAAAATACATAACTATGTACAATAGAAGGTAAGGATCTTAGGTACACTAATACATATTTATTCTTCTTGATACTATGAGACCCTGTCATACCATATTTATTTGGTTGAATAGTTCCATAAAAAATGGAAAAAGAGTAGTCCTTCAGAAAAAATTAAGTGACAAGAAAAGTTCTCATCATATGTAACAAAGTTTTTGAGGGAAAAAGATTCCTTGTTGTTCAGATCAATGTGAAAGGTCAGTGAAACGCAATCACAGCAGTTGATTGTGAATGTTGACCTCAGAATGTTTTCTCTGAAGGAATGCTAATGACTCTTACCATGATGCACTGGCTTATTTAGATACCATTAAAAGCTCCAACTTGACAAGCAGGATGATGAACTGCACTTTTCCTATCAAGCAACACATGTTTGGATAACAGGCAGCTCTGTTAAGTTGGGAGATATTTATTTTTAAAGAATCAATTTTTCATCTTCTTCCGCAATCCCAGTTTAAAACTCAGATGACTCATGGCTGAAAAAGAGAACTTTTACCTAAGATTGGATCTTGGGGTGTACAGAGTATAATGACACCTCTGTTTTATCAACATAAAACCTCCTTGGTCCTCCAAAGGGTGAATTTTCTGTTCGAATCCTGGTATATCTGACTCCATTTAATGAATGATTTTATGCCTCAAAAATATGCCCTATTATTTACCCAATTTTTTAATAAATAAATTTCAGTAACTGAAATGTGAATAATTCTAACCCTAACACACAGATGTTTGTTGTTGGATATTGTTGTATCCTTTACTTATTAAAAATTTTCTTGTGATCTTTCATTTTAAATATTTCATGCAAGACAAAACAAAACAAATACATTTAACAGCTAAATGGATATTTTCAAAATTAGGTGAAATCCTCTTTCTAATTGCTTTTGTGACTTTCTTGTCGTCTTGGAATATTGAGTTCATTTAATATTTTCCAATAAATTAGTATTTTCCAATAAATTAGTATATTCCAATAAATTAGTATATTCCAAAAATAAATTATATTTTCCAATAAATTAATATTCTTCTGCAAGAGGTAATTATATTGATTTGTCAGAAGTGGGGAAGGCTTTCTATAGATTATAATTTATGACAATAGAAGGATGGGCTCTCCAAGAACAAAACTAATTGAATCACTTCAAATTTCAATAATGCCATGGCTTTGGCTCTTAAAGGTAATATTTTGCTTTCAAGAGTGTCATTTAAAATGAACTTGTAGATGTAAACGTTAAACCTATATGAGTTAATATATCATTTAAGACTTTAGCAGGAATTAGTGGGCAGCTTTTAGAGATAAATTGAAATACATTTTGTGCCCAGTCAGAAATAAGTCTAGCCATGAAAACATTCTTCAAGAAGTGCCGCCTACCTGGTTTTCACCTCTCTAGGCTCAGAAGCTTTATTTTAATAAAAAGGAATAATGCTTGGTAGAAAAAATCTGGGAAAGTATCTTATTCTTAAATTTGAGACTGTATGGTCATCATGCATGGTTCATTGAGAACAATTGCACTCATGAAATGAAATCTAAGCACATTAGTATCACTTAGGGCTCCAGCAGGAAATAGATGGCATGCTCAAAGAAGAATTCAAGATAATGTAATGCAGAGACTAAAAGTAGTCTTAAGGGAACCAACAAATGATAATGAAGCACCCAGAAACCCAGAGATTGAGAGCAGGAAGCTATTATCACCTGTAGGCACAAAGGTACAAGGAGATAATGTGTGTTGTTGGAACCTAACAAGAGTTAAGGCAATGATAGAGGGGCAGGCTGACAGGAGCTGCGACTCTCTAGACTGAAGAACAGAGCCACTGCCAAGCCATGGCCCAGCAGGTCCACTAAGGAGAGCATAGACCTGACCTCTCATTTTCCTTGGTCTTTGATCTCTTACTGGAATAAGAATATTCCAGTAGAATATGACACAATGCTTATGGCAGGGCTGCTGTTTTTACTTTCTGCGACGTAATCTCTTTTTTCTTCCTTTTTTTTTTTTTTTTTTTTTTTTTTTGCTAAAGTTTGCTTAGTACCATGCCTGGAGTAGCTGATTTCAATGAAGCATTTCTCTCTTTGACATACTCCCTAATATCCAGGCTCCCTGGTGCCCCACTGTACTGGGATGGTTTTTATCAGTCCATTTAGCTGTAGAGCTCTCTCCTCAAACAAGTTGCCCTGTCCTGTACCTCCTTCTTACAGTCATGGCATTTCATTCACCTTGGCAATGGGAAGGATTTTAAAATTTATTTTAACGCAAGAGATCGCTTTCTCACTGGAGTGAAAAATTATGTTTTAAGACAGGGTCTTGCTCTGTCCTCCAGACTGGAGTGCAGTGGCGTGATCTGGGCTCACTGCAACCTCCACCTCCTGGCTCGAGCAGTCCTCCCACTTCAGCCTCCTGTGTGGCTAGGATCACAGGCATGCACCACCAAGCTGGGCTAATTTTTGCATTATTTGTAATTTTTTTTTTTTTTTTGTAGGGACAGGGTCTTGCCATGTTGAACAGACTCATCTCAAACTGCTGAACTCAAGAGATCCACCTGCCTCAGCCTCCCAAAGTGCTGGGATTATAGGTGTCAGCCACTGTGCCTGGCCTGAATTATTTTATTTTATTTTATTTTATTTTATTTTATTTTATTTTATTTTTGAGATGGAGTCTTGCTTTGTTGTCCAGGTTAGAGTGCAATGGTGCAATCTTGACTCACTGCAACCTCCAGCTCCTGGGTTCATGCAATTCTCCTGCCTCAGCCTCCTGAGTAGCTGGGACTACAGGTGCATGCCACTATGCCCAGCTAATTTTTGTACTTTTTAGTAGAGACAGGGTTTCACCATGTTGGCCAGGCTGGTCTCAAACTCCTGCCATCGTGATCCACCCGCGTTGGCTTCCCAAAGTGCTGGGATTACAGGTGTGCGCCACTGTGCCTGACCTGAATAATTATTTTTAATGTCATCAATGTAAGTGTTGAACATCTTTTGTCATTCTGCTCTATTTTTTATTTCTTTTATTCTGTCTGGTTCCTTTACATTGATTTACTTTCTTTTTTCCTGTTTGCTTACAATGCTATGAATTAAATGTTGATATTATGGTAAATGTTAATACATGATAAAGTGTGTGTCTGTGTGTGTGTTCATAGTGTAGTAAGAAGTGTTCAAATGGTCTTACAGGTTAACAGTGAATTAAAAATCAGGGCTGGTGTTACAATTGACAGACTTGTTTCTCAGAGATGGTGGCTTGCTTTTTATAAATTATATCATTCTGCTCTGTCTCCTTTTCTACTCCACTCAGATTCGAAATCAGAGCAAAGCCTCTGGGTCTGGGCTCTGTGAGGGAGATGAAGTGGTTTCCATCAATGGCAACCCTTGTGCAGATCTCACCTACCCTGAAGTCATCAAGCTCATGGAAAGCATAACAGACTCTCTCCAAATGCTCATCAAAAGGTACAATGGATTTGCTGGAATATGTATTTTCTCTTGAAGCTACATGGGAATGATTATAGCTTTTACTACCTATATAATTTGTCATTTATGGAGAAATTAGGGGTGCTTTGTACAAGGTTAGTACAGTTAAACAGAAATGCAACTGTGTTTGAAAAACAGTCAATTCTATTCAACCAAACTTTCTGGTTAATTGAGAATTAAGTTGAAAATCCTTGTTTCCAGCACTTTGTTGAAAATCTTAGGTATTTTAGTCTCCTTCCTTAGAAAGCTCAGTATATTGAGCATAACTTAATATTTCTTTGATAGATCAAGATTTTGTGATGGATCAGAATCACTCAATTGTAATTATCAGATGGACAGATGAATTTAAAATGTTTAAATATTAGACCGTTAAACTGTACAATTTTTCGTTAAAAGAGGATGACTAAGAAACAGAAAAGAGAAACGACAACAAAAACTTACAAGCAACCAGATTTCTCCAGTAAAACCAATATTTGGGGATGGACAAAAGCAAATGATTAGAACAAGGTTTTTGCACTACCAACACAAGTCATTTGGGAATTCAATCTCTTCAAATACCACTATCCCCACGTAGTTGTATAACAATATAAAAGAAACCTTCAAATATAAAAACAAAAGAAAACAATGAGGACAATAACCAAAAAAACTACAGCATTGACATTTTTATGGTGTACAAATCACAGTACAGTCCATACTGATTTTGCAACAGAAGCCCTGACTATTGTATTATAATGAATCCAGAAAGGAAAGCTTTGACTTCCTGGAGAGTAGCTTTTAGGAAGATGTCAGAGGACATCTCAAGATGAACCTCAAAGTCCTCCAGGTTTTTCCTCAACTCTGCAGAAGCACTACATACAGTTCCCCCTCTGCTGATCATTCAGTATGATTCTCTTCTGGGATAAAAATGAACTCACTATGGCCAAAATCTTGAGACAACAATGGAAATCTAGTATTATTCTTATAATCTAAATATTTACCCATCAAACCCAGTGTTTAAGGCCTGAGAATCCTTCCTTCATATTACGAAGAGAAAATAAGTTTATAAAATATATAATTTGCTAATACACAATTAAATTTATAAAATAAAAAATTTACAAAATAATTAACTAGTTGGTAGGATTCAAAGTGGAATCGCAATTGAAAATGAAGTCAAAAGCAATTATTATTATCACCACCACTACCACTATTTTAAATATCTGAATATTGTTTCCTGCAATAAATATTTCTCTCACTCATATCACTATCATCTATCAGTGGAGGACAAGTGTTTTTCCTTTTCCTGAACTATTGCCCAGAGATAGCTAGGTAAGACTCTTTTAAAATAACTCCTTTAGCATTCCGTCTCTATTATCTTAAATGTTATTCAAATAAGATTTTTTAAATTCTATAATTATGACACATAAATTGTGGACTTGATGAGTACGTATGTAGACTGATGGGAAATGATTGTTTTAAGGCATAAAGCTTTACTCTCTCATGCTTTTATGATATTTACTCATGTCTATATATTTTACTTCAGCTGCTGATAAATGTTAATATTTATCTGGCCATTTGTCTCTATTCCAGTCTACAAGGCTGGCGTGAATTGAAACTATTCTTTTCTCAGCTTCACAATTGATTGCTAACATAATTCCAAGTGATTTAATCTATTTCCATCCCAAGGTCTTCCTAAATTAAAACTCTCTGACCTTTTGGTACCCTTAAATTCAGTTTAACAGTGTATTGAACATTTTCTATATAATAATTATCTAATTTGCTTACATCATGCTTTTTAAATACTATATTATAGTGTTGTATAAATACAACATTACCAGGAAGTTTTTCCAATTACTTGCATATAGGGAAAGGTGCATTTTGTTTAACTGTTAGTTTGTTTGTATTTGGCTTAGTTTTGTTTTGCCAAATGCAGTTGAAAGCAAAGTTAGGAGTAAGTATTTTGAGCATTGGTCTGAAATTGCACTACCACATAAATTCTAAGGTAAATTCCTTTGAGTAGAATACAAGTAGAAGCTCATGCCCTTCAACTGATGTTCCCTGCATTAGTCATAACTATCTTTTAAGGAAGGAGGAAAGGGGCAAAGATAATTATGCTGCTTCTAAAATTAAAAAAAAAATACGAATACAAAAATTGAAGGCATTTCCTACAGCTGTTCTGTGAATAATACTTCTAAAAACATTTACAGTTTAAATTAGAGTTTCAGAAAGAAGTTATTTAACTCTTAAACTGACATGGCTTCTTCTCACAAACCCAAATTTGCACAAACAACCGGGAAGATCAAATCAAAGAAATGTGGTGTACAGCTCTAGGCTCCTTAGCTGAAAGATAAAGGAACAGTTTCACTTCAGATATCCTAAAAAGAAAATGCTCCAAGAAACAGGTTCAAACAGAAGAAAGGGAGACATTTCAGATTATAAATACTCCATGACTTAATGATTCATTGCAGCATGGAAAGGATTTCTCTTTACACAAGAGTACTGGGCTGGGTCCACTTATTACAAAACACATGCTCACTGGGGCTTAAAAAACAGCTTCTATTTCATTCCTTTCAAGAAAGCACAGCCTCAAAAAGGCCTTCTTGAGTTATCTGTAAGTTAAGATTGATCTGAAGGTGCTGGATATGTTTATCTGACTTCATAATGTCTAGACCAAAACTTAGTCAAAAAGACATTGAAATGTTTTGTCACATTCTAGCAAACTCATTATCGGAGATACCCAGATTCCAAGTACTTACAGATAAAGGGGATCCATGTTTTGTTTTGTTTTGTTTTTTACAAATAAAAGCTGAATTTAGGATGGATTCAGGTTTCATAATCTTGTGTAAGCGTTTTGTTGTGCTTTTAAATCTCTTTAAGTAATAATATGAACATATTGCCACCTTCTGTTTTCAAGTATGTTGCAATTGACATTTAGAAGAAAATATTTTGACTATATCATGTATTAGACATCACAAAAGTGTCAGGAAGTTTTTTGGCAGATGTAACATAGTCTGATTTAAGTGTCTGGAATGATTTTTCTGTGTGCAGACCATCCAGTGGAATAAGTGAGGCTTTGATATCTGAAAATGAAAACAAAAACCTCGAGCATCTCACACATGGGGGTCATGTGGAAAGTACCACCCTGCAGATTCGACCAGCCACAAAGACCCAGTGCACAGAGTTCTTCCTCGCCCCTGTCAAGACTGAAGTTCCCCTAGCTGAGGATCAAAGAAGTGGTCCCGATTGTGCAGGGAGCTTGAAAGAAGAAACAGGCCTGAGCTACCAGAGGGCTCCCCAAATGCCTGACTCCCAAAGAGGACGCGTGGCAGAAGAGCTGATCTTAAGGGAGAAGATAGAAGCCGAACAGCCTGGCCCTGTGGTTGAGCTGCAACTGTCCCTTTCACAGGAGAGACATAAGGGCGCTAGTGGCCCTGTAGTGGCTCTCCCGGGACCCGAAAAATCTAAGTCTCCTGACCCAGACCCTAACTTGTCACATGACAAGATTGTCCACATAAATTCGATCCCCACTAATGAGAAAGCAGACCCTTTCCTGAGGTCCAGCAAGATAATCCAGATCTCTAGTGGCAGAGAGTTGAGAGTGATCCAGGAAAGTGAAGCAGGAGATGCGAGACTGCCCCGGGTGGAAGTGATCCTCGACTGCTCTGACAGGCAGAAGACAGAAGGGTGCAGGCTTCAGGCAGGAAAGGGGTGTGTGGATTCTCCAGTGGAAGGAGGGCAGTCAGAAGCACCTCCTTCTCTGGTATCAGAAGGCATAGAGCAGGGAGAAGATCCACGCTCGGAAAAGGATCACAGCAGACCTCACAAGCACCGAGCGCGGCATGCACGTAAGTTCTGCGTGGGCTGTGAGAAGGAGCTTGGGAGTTGGGGGCATTTTGCTGCTTCTTTGCTTGCATGAGTTTTTCAGCAAGATTTTTCTTGTTTCTCATTGGCTTAAAGAAATATTTAACTAATGCACAAAATCACAAATGTGAAATTGTGGAGAATACCAGTTTCTAAATGGGAAGCAATAAGTCTGAACTTCATATAGATTTAAACATTTTTCATGAATTCATTTTTATCCCCAAAGGCACAGGAACTGTTAAAGAAAATAATATTGTCAATGTGCCTATTCATTTTGTTTCAGAAAGTTGAAATATTTCATGTTAAAATAGCATAAGAAAGCACTTGAAGTCATGTGGACTCAGTTTAAATGTCAGAAACTGTTGAGTCTGCTACTGAGAGGTGTCTTTAAAATAAAAGCTCTACCACTGATATCAAAAGCAGATCCTCGTTTTGAAAAAAATCATTGTGCAGCTTGATGATGCTTGCAGAAGTGAGTTTGACAGACAAGGACATATGTATAGTGAGGAGTTACATGATCCTCTCCGTTTTGTAAGTCTTCATTAGACTGCAAAGTGTTTCATCTACCTTCTAGACGCAGAAGTCAGTCTCCAGGGCCATGTGGAGGTATTTAAATGTCTCCAAACATAAAATGTATTTAAATTCAGTGCTTTGTATGGCATTTTGTTTTACCCAGGGGAAAGAAGACAGAAAGGAGAATAGGGATAAGAATTGCAGTTAGGTGTTAGGATTTCTGTTGTTTTATTTCATGTTTTTTTTTCTTTTTACGAATTTTGGAATTTTATTTGAGGATGTAAAGGCTGACAGGCAAAGGCACTTGACTGTATATATGATACACAATGGCAATGAATTTGGTTATTCAAAGTAGAATCTTAAGTCTTCTAACCTATTGTTATTCCTTTCAAAGCATATTTTTAGCATAACCATTTGTAGCTTTATTGGCAAGTGCTGTTAATCATTCCTTATACTTTAAGCATCTGTAGGCCATCTTCACATTTATAGCATATTAAACAAGAGTATTGAGACACCATTCACATACTTTACATGTTGGCAGTGAAGTTAGCAGCAACTGTGCAACTGTGACTGTCAGTTTAATAAGTTGTATAACACTAGTCAAAAAAGGAATTATATTTAGTAATAACTTCAGTTTCAACTATTTTTTCTCTAGAAAATTTGATCACCAGTAAATGCCTGTAATCATATTATAAAATTATTTCCTTGGATTATATTTTATTTTTTAAAACTTAACCATTAAGTCTGTGACAAAAAGAGCTAATTTTCAATCATAAAATAGTCAAAAATTTTTTCTTAATTTTCCACTTAACTATTTTGAGGAATTAAAAAATTTAGGGGACTCATACCCATTATCATTGAAAACATGATGTAATTATAAATTATAAATGATAGATGCTATATGTTTTGTTGCTATAAATTAATTTGCCACCAATTTATTTTTTATAATAGTAATAATGAAAGAAAATTTTAAATATTTTTATTTTATAACCATCATATTCTTGTTTTAAATGACTTGATTTCTGCATCAGTTTTTACACAGTTAAGTGGGTCACAAGTCAATTTTTAAGTTTCTTCAAGATTCATTCTTACTGCAAGGAAAGTAATATTGTATTTCCAAAATAGCAATACATTTACAAACAAATCTGTCTAGAAAACTTTGTAGCTAGAGCTTCTTATATGTATTTACAATAATGTCATATTTTGAATTTTAACTAATTATTGATTCAGTACCTTCAATGATTAATTCAGTGTTTCACATTTATATTAATCCAGTAGCTGTGAATGGAAAGATTTGGGGCAGTTGTCAGAGTAAAAAAGGAAAAAAGAGAAAGAAGAAAACCTAAATAGCTAAATTCATTACATTAAAACATTTAGAAAATTTTGAAACATATTCGTGGGACACTCCTCCCTTTTTAAGATTCCTGGAAACAGTTTTATATTGACACTTTATTTTAAAATATGGAAGTATGAGATATGTCTCATCTTGTTTTTCAGAAAATATTATGTCTTTATGTCCTTCTTAATTCTAATTTTATCCCATTAATTGGCATTTACTAACCAGTTTTTATTATTAAAGTGGAAGGATTTCTAGAGAAACAAATGTATGAAACATATATTCTAATCAGCATATATAAAATGTTTTTATGTGAACAAATAGAACTGTATATTATTGTAAAAGGAAATACGTTAAGAGAAATAAGAAAAAGAAATGTGTTGGATTCCTTCAAAATTCAGTACTCAATGACAATTTTATACATATTTATTTTCCCCCAGGAGAATTCATTTCTGAGTTGCTGTGGTGTCTTCCTTGAACTCATCAGCTCAATATAATTTTTTTTTTTTTAACTCTCCCTAGGGCTCAGGAGGAGTGAAAGCCTGTCAGAAAAACAAGTGAAGGAAGCAAAATCTAAATGCAAAAGCATTGCCCTTCTTCTAACAGATGCTCCCAATCCCAACTCCAAGGGGGTGTTGATGTTTAAGAAGCGACGTCGGAGGGCCAGGAAATACACCCTAGTTAGCTACGGTACTGGCGAGCTTGAACGAGAGGCGGACGAGGAGGAAGAAGGTGACAAGGAGGATACATGTGAAGTAGCATTTCTTGGTGCAAGCGAATCAGAGGTGGATGAAGAGTTATTGTCTGACGTTGACGACAACACACAAGTTGTGAACTTTGACTGGGATTCTGGACTGGTGGACATTGAAAAGAAACTGAACAGAGGGGACAAGATGGAGATGTTACCAGACACCACAGGCAAGGGAGCCCTCATGTTTGCCAAGAGGAGGGAGAGAATGGATCAGATCACAGCCCAAAAAGAAGAGGACAAGGTAGGTGGAACGCCAAGCAGAGAACAAGATGCTGCCCAGACGGATGGCCTGAGAACCATGACTTCTTACCAAAGAAGGGAGGAAGAGTCGGTGAGAACGCAGAGCTCTGTGAGCAAAAGCTACATCGAGGTGAGTCATGGTCTTGGCCATGTTCCTCAACAGAATGGCTTCAGTGGGGCATCTGAGACAGCAAACATCCAGAGGATGGCCCCCATGAATAGAACGGCCAAACCCTTCCCAGGGTCTGTGAATCAGCCAGCCACCCCCTTCTCGCCAACCCGAAACATGACGAGTCCCATTGCTGACTTTCCTGCACCTCCACCTTACTCTGCAGTCACTCCACCCCCTGACGCCTTCTCCAGAGGGGTATCAAGTCCAATTGCTGGCCCAGCACAGCCCCCTCCATGGCCCCAGGCTGCCCCCTGGTCCCAGCCAGCCTTTTACGATTCATCTGAGCGAATAGCTTCCCGAGATGAGAGGATCTCAGTGCCAGCAAAAAGAACAGGAATATTGCAGGAGGCCAAAAGGAGAAGCACGACAAAACCCATGTTTACTTTTAAAGAGCCCAAAGTAAGCCCAAATCCTGAACTCTTGTCACTGCTTCAAAATTCAGAAGGCAAACGGGGCACTGGAGCTGGAGGTGATTCCGGACCGGAAGAAGACTACCTCAGCTTGGGGGCAGAGGCTTGTAATTTCATGCAGAGCTCCTCTGCCAAACAAAAGACCCCTCCTCCTGTTGCTCCAAAACCTGCCGTCAAGTCCTCATCCTCCCAACCAGTAACTCCAGTTTCCCCAGTCTGGTCTCCAGGAGTGGCTCCCACCCAACCTCCTTCCTTCCCCACATCCAACCCATCAAAGGGCACCGTTGTCTCCTCCATCAAAATAGCCCAGCCTTCTTACCCTCCTGCCCGGCCTGCAAGTTCTTTGACTGTGGCTGGTCCCTTCAAAGGACCACAAGCAGCAGTAGCCAGTCAGAATTACACACCCAAACCAACAGTTTCCACAGCAGCAGTCAATGCTGCTCAGCCTGGTGCAGTGGGACCATCCAATGAGCTTCCAGGAATGAGCGGGAGAGGAGCTCAGCTCTTTGCTAAGAGGCAGTCGAGAATGGAGAAGTATGTGGTGGATTCAGACACGGTGCAGGCCCACGCTGCTCGAGCTCAGTCTCCCACTCCATCTCTCCCGGCCAGTTGGAAATACTCCTCCAATATCCGAGCACCTCCTCCTGTGGCCTATAATCCTATCCACTCCCCCTCTTACCCACTGGCTGCTCTCAAGTCTCAGCCATCAGCCGCACAGGCCTCCAAACCGGGCAAGAAAAAGGGGAAGAAACCCCTTAATGCATTAGATGTCATGAAGCACCAACCGTATCAGCTCAATGCATCCTTGTTTACTTTCCAACCTCCAGATGCAAAGGATGGCCTCCCCCAAAAGTCATCAGTCAAGGTCAATTCAGCCCTGGCCATGAAGCAAGCTCTTCCTCCCCGGCCAGTGAATGCTGCCTCACCTACGAATGTGCAGGCTTCGTCAGTGTACTCGGTACCAGCCTATACCTCTCCTCCTTCCTTCTTTGCAGAGGCCTCCTCACCAGTCAGTGCATCCCCAGTGCCTGTGGGCGTTCCCACCTCGCCAAAGCAAGAATCAGCCTCATCATCTTATTTTGTGGCACCAAGGCCAAAGTTCTCAGCCAAGAAAAGTGGTGTCACAATTCAGGTGTGGAAACCATCTGTTGTGGAAGAGTAATCTTGTAGCTGAAGCTGAGTGTCCACTTTGCTTGAAATGAATTGTTTGCAGTGTTTCTTGAGTCCCTGAGAATGCCTAGCAAATCCTCAACTTACTTAATTTCAGATGTGTCACCTCCTATTCTGGGTCCAAGGAGTATAATATTTTTAATGAGTCAAAAATTCAACTCAGATTGACCTAAAATATATTTAGCTTCTTTGCACACTTAAAAAATCCAGGAGCACCCAAAAATAGACATGTACCATTATATTAAGTAAGCAGGATACTTAGGATTTGTGCTGTAGCCACAAGAAAGACAGTGATCAGTGATATCAAACATCAGGAATCAGCCTTTACGTAACATAACAGCTGTGCTCCTATGCTGAAAGGTTCAAATGTAGTGAAGGTATAACCTATATTGACTGAGATTTCCCTTTTAGGTAGTGCCTTATCTCTATTACTAGTGTTAAAGGAATAAAGAATCTATCGAGGACAGGGAGCAGCTCTGGTCTGTCAATCTCAGCCACCCGTTTGATATCACAGAGAAGGTACTCGGAGGGCTATTGGAATGTATATAGTTTAGTAAGAAGTGGGTAAGAAAGAGGGTCTTAATAATTACTGAGCACTTATTATGTATTAGGTTCTTTGCCAGATGTTTTCACATATATCAAGTCATTTCAGAAGACTTATTTAAAGTAAATGGGGCGGGCATGGTGGTTCGTGCCTGGAATCCTAGCACTTTAGGAGGCCGAGGTAGGAGGACTGCTTGAGGCCGGGAATTGGAGACCAGCCTGGGCAACATAGTGAGACCTTGTCTCAATAATAGTAGTAATAATAATAATTAAGTAAATGGGATAAGGAAAGAAGGATAATTATCTTTAAAGATGGATTCCCACCCTCCCTCCCCAGTCACTTAAGGAACTAAGTGATTAGATCTCCAGTTGCCCATGAAAGCATAAGTTTGTTTTCCTCAGCTGAGGCAAGTGGTAGAGTACACAGGATAATGAAGTCACATGTAAAAAGCAGGATGCACATAAAGGTATGCATGGCTGTTGTTTTACCTGGAGAAACCACATGATTGGGACCTGAAGGTTTACTGACTGACGACAGGGACTGATTGTGAAGCACGAGGAACCCCATGTGTGTGGAGACTGTAGGGGTGAGAACACACAATTATTAGCATCATTTCTGAGTGATCTCACAGATTTTTTTTCTTGTGTTCGTTTTGCTTTTTGACAACTGCTTCTCCCATGTTCCTTGTAATTCTATTCTCTCACCTTCACTTTATTATTTGTATTTGATGGACCAGGATAATTCAGGCAAGGTTACCTTGTAAACTTGAATTGGCCACACACCATGTCGTCACCCAGCTGGCTATGAAGTGAATAATGGTACTGAAAGTAAACCTGAAGACCTTTCTCAGATCTATTTTAAGTCTGAGTCTGACCAACCATGGAAAATATTCGACATGAATTAATGTAGAGAACTATAAAGCATTTATGACAGCTCCAAGGAAAATCATCTGCTCTATGCAGGAGATATGTTTAGAGACCTCTCAGAAAAACTTGCCTGATTTGAGGGTACACAGTACCATTTTAATCCTCTGAAAATATCTGTATTCCTGTTCTTTTTCTGCTGTCACTGTCAATCTGCTATATTTTTCACTATCCTATTAAAATATTACTGTCTTCTTTATCTGTTCAATGTCTATATTTTAAAAAAATCTTCCTTGTATGAGCTATTCTGATCTAAGTAATTTCTCTGATATTTCTCTGTATGGCTCCCACAACAATTTCATTGTTGTTAGCGTATCTATTTCTCCATACATTGTAAAACTGTAATCTTTAGGTATTTCTAAAACATAAAGAGGAGAATTAAGTCAGCTGCAGAACAATGGGGCTGATTCTTCTGCTTTTTCTCTGGAAAATCTTTCATTGCTTTTGGTGGAAATTTACCTAGAGGTTACAACCACAGGCTGTAGCTTGGTCTCTTATTTGCCTTTTTGGGAAACCAATTAAGATTAATACAGGATAAAGGAAAAAAGCAATCTATTCATTATATAACACAGTTGTTTGTATTACTTGTTCCCTGCAAAGGAAATCTGTTGAATGCTTGCATTTTGAATTCTTTTGTAATAGAACAACCAAAAAAGGCTTCTTATGGTGCAGCAGGAAAAAAGATCATTTTTATAGCTTTGCATTCTTAACATAGCATTTAAAGAATGGCATGAATTAGAGGAAAGACATGGAACACACAGGTAGTCAGTTTGAGATCATCGGCTTAAAAGTATCCTAGGATGGTAATGACCCAGAAGTATTTCCAGTTGTCTAGTGGTGTGGTATGCAGGAATGAGAAGTGTTTTCTTTCCATTTCCTGTTGGACAGGTGGCAATCTTAGCAGAGCCATTATTTGGAGTTGATAACTAAAGACGCAAATAACATGACTATGTCTTCTGGTCATCCTGGGACTATTTGGAGTTCCCCAAAACCTTATAAGAGGCATGTCAGGCATGCAGTAAAAGCATCTACAACTTCAGCTGGGCACTGGCAGCATAGGTCTCATCTTGGACCATACAGTCCCACTTTATAGAAGAGGGTGGAAGTTCTCCAAAACCAGATCCACAACAAGGTCTGACCTCACTCTGAGGGAGATGGGAAGTGGGAGGGAGAAGGACTAACCAGCTCCCTGGAGTAAGAGGAATTTGCTTTCCCTATTTCCCCACCAGGGGGCTGTATGTGCCACCTTTCAGGTTGGGGCCAAGGAAGTGATGTCAGTGTGACAGAAGGGAGTTAGACCACCAGACATCAGCCTCCCTCCCAGGGGGTACATTTTCAAGCTGAGTGTTATTGGCTTAGCTGTGTTGGTATCAGTTTGATTGGTTGGTCCGCTGGTTACGAGGTGTAGGCAGGCAGTTTTTGTTTGGTTTTTAGGACTTTGCTTCTTCCTTTGTCCTTAGCATAATTTCTAGGCAGAGTATCCACGAAGTCGATTTTCATTGCCAGCTCAAGAGTGACAATCATTTACTGAGTTCCTATGTTATGTTAGATACCTTATGTATAGCATCCCAAATCCACTGCACGGTTTAAATACAGGCACTAGAATATAAACGAACAAGGTCTTCACAGTCACTGACTTTCTGCAGGACCTTAAACATTTCTCTTTCCACAAGTTTCCCCTTAATCATGTGTCAACCTGTCTTCCTGACCGGAATATTGTGCTGTAGTGAATCTGCATAACACTTGGGATTCTAGGAGGAAGAAAGGTTCCATGGACATGTAAGTACAGCATATTCCCCTCAGTCTTCTAGGAGGGCAGAGTGAATCCCACAACTGGTGAGAGTGGGAATCTGAGCATTGCCACTTTAATCTAACAACATTTATCATTTTGACACATCCTGTTTTTTAGAGAGGAAAAAATACACAGTTTCTGCATTGGTAGTGTAAAGCATACCTCGTTAGGAACATGTTTTATAAGACACATTTGGGTTGTCATTCTAGAGCATGTCAAACTTTGTACTTCAAAATATGTTTAGTATGATTGTTAGTGGTAATGTGTATAAAGCCTTTGAATTGACTGTTTTATTTAATTTTCACAAGAAGCACTTATTTTAACCATAGGAAAACCAATCTGAGTTACAAATAGTGCCTTAAAATAAGCCCAGGTTATTTAGCTGTTCTAGAAAGTGTCGACTTCTTTCAAGAAGCAGGCATTGTAGGACAGCTGAGAATTATCACACAGCCTAAATTCTAGCCTGGCAGCATGAGTCACATCTGAGATGTCAAAAACACATGGTCTACATTGAAAGGGGGTGGACTAACGTATGTGAGACCATTTTCCTATTTGCAGTTACAAGGTTAAAGAACTTTGAAGGTCATTTGACTGCTGAGTGGCATGTCGAACACTCTGTGTGGCTCTTTCACAGTAAACCCTCTTAAGAGCAGAAGACACATGGCTGTTAGTGTCTGTGTTTAGATTTAATCTATCAAATAAAGGCCCTTTGCTGCGTATGATTTCATCCAGTTATAAACTAGGGCTCCTGCAAGCACCCACATTCTAAGGGTGAGTTATTGAAATCAGTTGCTGTTTGATGAGTCACCACTGGCCCAGCAGGCATGGCATTTGAAGTCATGGTCATCAAAAAGAAATGATTGTTTTTTGAAAATCTAAATGCTTGAAATGCTTCTAGAGGGAAGTCGTGGGGCGTGTGCTCATTCTTTTTTAACATCAGAGTTGTTGAGTTTGTTTTTAAACATTTTTATAAGTTCATGAGAAAATATATATAAATTCTAAGAGCCAACATTGTATTCCCAGAAACATGACCCTCGCTGGTCTTGGTTCCACATATCATTGGACTCTGGGGGACACAAAGACGCCTGTGACACTTTGGTGCTGCTGAGTTAGTCAACAATTATTCTGGGAAAAAGCAGAATTGAATTCTTCTCTAGATGTCCCACCAGGGTTGGCCAAAGGCCACAAAGCAAGCTAATAAATTCCCACAGGATCCAGACACCAGGCAAAATTGCTCTAAGAAACCAGTGACTGTCATCCCTCTATGGTTCTAGAAAAAATAGTACAAAAACAACAGGTCATCCTATGAGCGTCATGCCAATGAAACCTCATCTTCTGGAGAAGCCCTTGAATCAGAATTATCTTTTTTCTTGATGTTGTCAGGTGCAGCCAGTTTCTTAATTTTTTAAAAAACTGTATGTTTCTGTGGTATGTATATTTGTACACCAAACTACCTGGCACTTGGAAATCACAGCACTACTAAATGGCAATTGAATAAAGAGAAATTTAATTTTAAATATCAAATCTTGTCAGAAATTTCTCAGACTTCTAATGTTATCAAAGGTTTGCCAGCCAATAAAGTGCATCCCAAGTGTACAGGAGAGAAAGCTAGACTTCTACAGAGTCCTAGAGTTTAAGTAATTTTTTGTTAATATAGGTAATAATTTTTCTAATTTTTATTTTTTGGTTCTGCATGTAAAACT